TCATGCATATTTCTCTGTAGTCAAATAAATGAGTACTTCTCTAGCTGTGGTGTTCGATATTTATTTTAAGAGCCTTTTATCTCGTCTCGTAAGCTCGACATTGTTGAACAGAAAGTTTGACTGTCAGTTGAAGCCTTTTCAAGAAAAAAACAACCAAAAAACGTGTTTTTGAAGTAACTCATTAACTGGCTGTTATCTTAAGATCAGCAATTAAAAATAAAGTTTGACTACGATAGTGTTTAAAATATTACTTTTGTACGTTAAATCGTACTTGCGCCTGAAATTACCTCGTACGCGAAAACTTTGTGTTTTCATCTGTATTGTAGTGTTAAGCAAATGTTTCTTAATCGCGATATACAAACGCTATTAACTACTCTCATAAAATATCTTAATAAACCTACCAGAGACTTGTACAATATTGTAATGATTTGTATAAACCAGGCAGTTATATCTATTACATAGTTTGTACGACTTTTAATACGTATTATTATCGGTAACCCGGACAATTAGACACCTAAAAAAATGACGAAGTAGGACATTCAGACACCTAATATTTTAAAACTTCGCAGCATATTTGTCTAGTTGTATGGTTACCATGTAGGACACATATAATGGAGTAAATTAAAGTTATAATATAATAAACTTAGATCAATTTAGGTTAAATAATTGAGTAGATTCAACATTTTAATAAAATAGGCCTAGATATATGCAGTTCATATAATGGAGTAAATTTTTGTTTTGTAAATGAACAAGTGGTATCTAAATGCCCTACGTCATCATTTTTGTTAGGTGTCTAGTTGTTGTGGAATCATTATTATCAGTCGTTATGAACTCAGAACAACAACAAGAAGTTGAATAAGATCATCATGTATCCACCAATAGTATATAAGAATTAATTCATATATTTTTGTTCTGAACAGGCTTGGTAGTGCTATGAACAAATAATGCGATCCGTTGGAGAATATTATCAGTTAGATAAAATCGTGTTTTCACAAAGTAACAAATGTGAAAGAAGATTGATTATATCTATACATTTTTTTTAAAGATGATATATGTAACAGACGGTGACCTAATGTTTTTTAGCCACGACATAGCGACTCATAGAATGGCTCTGTTTTTTGTTTTTTTTGTTTTTTTTTATGATAGGCTGGTAGAGATCCTGGTGAGTAATAAAATTGAATCGGGTATACGCGCGACCCACGCTTGGTATTGCTAGCGCACAAAAATATGGCTAATAAGAAGGGGGGGGGTCTCATAGATTAATTTACACTAATATTGCCTAAAAGAATTTCAAGTGATGCGGCTATTGTGGATTCCCTCTTGTTCAAAGTTATTTGGATAAAATAATTATATTTTGTGTGAGAGTCAATCGGTTCGTATTAAGGCTTTTTGTGGAAAAGTGAATAGTCTCTGTTTATTACTATTTATATTCAAAATATTATGTTTTATCGAACTATAGAATGTTAAAAACTATGATTATCAATCCTGCTTGAGCCAGTCATAGGACTTGGTGTTTATCAATCCTGCTTGAGCCAGTCGTAGGACTTGGTGTTTATCAATCCTGATAGAACCAGTCATAGGACCTGGTGTTTATCAATCCTACTAGAACCAGTCATAGGACTTGGTGTTTATCAATCCTGCTAGAGCCAGTCATAGGACTTGGTGTTTATCAATCCTGATAGAACCAGTCATAGGACTTGGTGTTTATCAATCCTGCTTGAGCCAGTCATAGAACTTTGTGCTTATCAATCTTGCTTGAGCCAGTTATGGGACTTTGTGTTTATCAATTCTGCTAGAACCAGTTATGGAACTTGGTGTTTATCAATCGTATCTTAACAAGTAGTAGTAGTAGAAAAATAGTAGTTTTAATTTAAACAAAGATCCAAATTCTGAGGAAAATTAGTGACTGTGAAAACGGGTTTGCTGCGGTGGTTTATTGAAGAGATCAGAACAGCCAATATAATTTTGAAATGTAAAGAATGTATCAGCTTTTGTGCAGTATAAGACATTAGACATCGTCGAAAATAATGCAAATTTGGAGTTGAACCAACAATTGGTCACAGATGTAAATAGCACTGGCAAGATATCTTATTGTTAATGAAAAGAATCGTAACAAATTTTTAGAAGAGCAGCTTGGAGTTGCTTTTTTCTTTAAGCCTTTTTTTTAACTGGTGGCCCAGGCCATTGAAAGGGCGTCTTCTGTATTATATTCAGTCAGTATTTATCCCTGCCCCAAAATGGAGTCGGAACGCTCCGACTTCTTAGGTTAATGACATAACGTTACTAGATTAACGTTGATTAAGAAAAACCAAAACATGATAAAACTTTTGTTGTTGTTTTTTTACAAAACTATTTTGCCCAAACAGTACTAATTTTTAAGCCATACTGATGAGCCAAAATCTAGGGCTGGTAGGCCCAAATTTCACACTAGGAATGTATGTAATAACTTTGTTTTGTGTTCAAAAATATCGTAAAATTTTAAATCAAAACTACACTGTAACATTTCAGGTTATCCTTGCCCAGTTATCAGTCCCCAAGTAACATTTCACTTAGAGCAACCATGTGCCCCATTTCACACAGACATACTAATTAATAAAAATAGATTATATGAATTGTGAAAACATTTTCTTGTACAACGCGTGTATTATAGCCTGGAAATAATGGTATTTATTGGTTTTATGATAAAAATACAATCAAAAGACCTAGTGCCAATATTGACATTCACGACAATTGGATTCAAATTTATTTTTGAAACTAAATTAGATGTAGTATTTATAGTCAAAGTTAGGCCTATACATAAAATATTTATGTTATGAATTAATATAATTGAACTTTTGGGACCATCAAACTACATATATCATCACATTTACTGAAAAGGGTAGGTTGGTAGAAATTCTGATGAGTAACAACATCGAATCGGGTATATGCGTGCCTCACGCTTGCCATTGCTGGCGCGTAAAAATACAGCTAATAAAAAGGAAACAAACAAGTACATTAAAAAAAATTTTTTTATAGAGACAAGTAGGCTCGATACATACGTAACCTAGCAAGCTATAGTAATACAGAAAGTTGTAATGCTACAAGACCATTGAAACCAGCAAGTCAAAACTACAGAAACTGGCAAATCACTGTAATTATGTTAGTCTGAGCCAGAGTAGGGATTTTTTTATTTTAATTAATTCAGTTTTAGTAGTTTTGAATTTTTTGTTAGTTTTGACTTTTTCGTTTCAATGCTTGTTGTAGTATTAAATATTTCTATATTACAATAGCTAACTAGGTGCCAGGTGGTTAGGGCGCCCGACTCGTAACCTGAGGGTCGCGGGTTCGAATCTCCCACCAAACATGCTTGCCCTTTCAACCGTGGGGGCGTTATAATGTGACGGTCAATCCCACTATTCGTTGGTAAAAGAGTAGCCCAAGAGTTGCCGGTGGGTGGTGATGACTAGCTGCCTTCCCTCTAGTCTTAGGGACGTATAGTATAGATAGGCTTTGTGTAGCTTTGCGCGAAATTCAAAACAAACAAAACTATCTAGGTACATATCCAATCCTACAACTTTTTATAAAATTCAAAAATTTTTATTGTACTTGTATATTTAAGTAAATGCTCCCCCGGTGGCTCATCGGTAAGTTTGGGGGTTTGTAACGCTAAATTTCGGGTTGCGATACCCACTGTGGACAGAGCATAGATAGCCCATTGTGTAGCCTTGCACTTAACAACAACAACAGAATAAAAAACTTAAATACACTACCAAACAAAAAGTCACTGATCAAAATATATTTGTAAAGTCACATCAGGAATAGCCCCCAGTGGCACAGCGGTATGTCTGCGGACTTACAACGCTGGAAACCGTGTTTCGATACCCGTGGTGGGCAGAGCACAGATGCCCATTATGTAGCTTTGTGGTTAACTTCGAACAAACATCAGGAATACCGTTAAGACAAAAGTAACAATCAATTCTTCACTTGTTTGCAAGATGGAAGCCAAACTAGCTGCAACATTCATCGTTACCAGCTTAAACCGTATCAAAACGTACACACATTATATTTTGGAGCAGAAGTGGGAATAACTTTTAACCGTATAAATATCATTTAGTGAAAAACATCCACAGTATGTTTGTTATTCAGAACCTCAAATTACGTATTGAGATGAAGCATCAGTAGTTTTATACGCTTTGTTCAAAACCTATAAAGTGTGTAGTTTATTTTAACCGTATAAATATCATTTAGTGAAAAACATCCACAGTATGTTTGTTATTCAGAACCTCAAATTACGTATTGAGATGAAGCATCAGTAGTTTTATACGCTTTGTTCAAAACCTATAAAGTGTGTAGGTTTTAAATTTTTAACCGTAAGTTAAGTACTTGAAAATTAGGGAATTATTTCCAACACCGTTCTTTTGAAAACCTTGTTCTCTTGACGTTTTTCTTAAAATAAACACTTCATATAATTGCACATTTTGTGCCAGACGTGGCGCAATGTGCTATAAGAGTGACAGTCAAATCCTATCATTCGGTCAGACAAGAGTAGCCCAAGAGTTATTAAATTGGGAAAAAAAACTCGTATTACATGAAATGTTATGAAAACTTTTTTTTCTATGGATTTGTTAATCAGTTTCTTGACTTTTTCATCAATTGCAAAGCCTTCTGTCTGTGATAGATGAAGTGACAGTGCCACGTGGCTGGTAAAGCAATGAAAAAAAAATCAGCCGGTATTAGGCAAACCTGAAAGCTATCAACGACAGCCATTCACGGAGGTATTACAATACCAACCCCTGTTTTAATAGACTTGCTGAAGCATATAACTTTGTAAATTGATTTATCTGCATGAGAAAAGCTAAATGCACCTCTGAAAATAGACTGAAAATCTCTTTTACTTTCAAAAGTTTGTTTTTAAAGAAATCGACATCTTTTTTGGGTATACAAAAGTATGATTGATAACTTTTTTAGACTTAACACAGCCACGTTCACATTATTTCAGAAGTTGTTTTGAATATAAAATTAAGAGACGTTTAAACTTGCTTAACTTTTTTTGGGGGGGAGGGCGACTAGTGGTTAAAAACAACAACAACAATAAACGTTGAATGGCCGAAAACTAATGCACAGCTGACTTTGCACTTACTGATAGTATATACGAAAAACAAATATACCCTGTCGACAACTATCTTGTTACAGGCTATATAAACTATCTTACTTTGAATTCTGGCGATTAGTTTTTTTTTTTTTTTTTTGTTAAGACTTCAATATAACTCAACAAACGACAAATTACAAAAAACAAAGACGTTTAATTTGAATAACCCCCTTTCGAGTTATACAAGTTATTAACGATGTAACTGAATTTCTTGTGTGGAATTTCATGAGAACTTTTTTATGTAAATTATATAATCTGGTATGTGTGTGTGTGAAGTAACCGCTGTGTTATTTTAGTGAAAACCAATAGGCTGTCTTCGTTGACCAGCAAGGTTCCTGCCCTATATGAATAAAGGAAAAATAGAACAATAAATCGGTCATTTAATAACGAAAAGACATAAGATTAATAACATAATTAAAGAATGGACCAACTTCATCTATCAGAGAATTCGAAGCGTCTAGGTAATATATTAATACAAGTGTATACCGACAGTGTGAGTAAAAAGTTTGTATTAATACAAGTGTATACCGACAGTGTGAGTAAAAAGTTTGTATTAATACAAGTGTATACCGACAGTGTGAGTAAAAAGTTTGTATTAATACAAGTGTATACCG